ACCTAACAATCAACATCGGCACCTCTATTGTTTCCCCGACTCAGACTGCAAGGAATCTGGGTGTGACCCTAAATAACAACCTGTCCTTCACCGCAAACATCGCTGCTACAACCCGCTGCTGCAGATACACTCTTTACAACATCAGGAGGATACGTCCCCTCCTGACCCAGAAAGCGACGCAACTTCTTGTCCAGGCTCTCGTCATCTCACGCCTAGACTACTGCAACTCCCTCCTGGCTGGTCTACCTGCATGTGCCATCCGACCTCTGCAGCTCATCCAGAATGCAGCGGCTCGTCTGGTCTTCAACCTTCCAAAATGTTCCCACACCACACTGCTCCTCCGCTCGCTTCACTGGCTTCCAGTAACTGCTAGAATCCACTTCAAGACACTGATACTTGCGTACCATTCTGCGAATGGATCTGGCCCTTCCTACATCCAGGACATGGTTAAACCATACACCCCAGCACGTACACTCCGCTCTGCATCAGCCAAACGGCTCGCTGCACCCGCACTGAGAGGGGGACCCAAGTTCCCATCTGCAAAAACACGTCGGTTTGCTATCCTGGCTCCAAAATGGTGGAATGAGCTCCCCATTGATATCAGGACAGAAGAAAGCTTACACATCTTCCGGCGCAGACTGAAAACTCATCTCTTTCGACTCCACTTCGAGCGATAGAATTACTAACAAAGCACTTATATACTAATAAAGGACTGGCTTATCTAAAGCCAGTTGAGTAGCACTTGAAATGTTTTGGCTCTATGAAACCTGAGGCCTGTACTATGAAGCTGGATTTTCGCTTAGCCGGCTAACTTCAGGGAAATCTCGGGCTTTCCGGTCCTACGACGCTGGTTCTCTTTTTAGCAGGCTAGATTTCCATGGTAACTTATGCTGAGCGGCAAACCTGCTCCGGAGCAGGTTAGGTGGCAGGCTAAGAGATCAACTCAGTGAAAGCACCGCCTGCTGACCAATCAGAGCTCCGTGTGCGGAGTTTAAAGCGATCAATTCATATTACAGGATAGAGGAAATACAGAAAAACTGCCGTTGCAGGAAAGACGGCCGGCCAAAATCAACTGACTGTGTGAACGTGAAAATTAATAGAATATCCCCTCCCATCTTCAGAGCAATCTGACTATTATAATATTAGCGTTAAGAAAGCTTACTTAAATATCTGCCACGACATAAGTAACCGGATCAGAGTAACATTAAGTACAGTCCGCGGCACTGTGAGTGCAGACGTCGATGTGTCCCATTATCATTCATATCATATCACATCATAATGTATCATATATTTCCTTATTTGAGTCAGCTTCTTGAGCCGTATCTGGCCGTGCAACACTCACAGTGTCACATACTGTATGCAGAAGTATTATTTTAAGCAACACATTAAGTTGACGAAACACTCGAGTCAAATTCTCCTAATTAAAGTCAGATCCACTCGTGTCTTGGACGGGGCAGTGATATCATAAACCTGTTAATGTACGCATTCAAACACTTTTTCTTTTACCAGCTGTATTCACCTTGCAGGTGCAGCTATGTGGCTTTTATCCTGGATAAAGTGTTTAAGTCATGGATGTTTAAAGTTTAACTTCTTCATATTTGACTAATATTAAAGTTCACTTTTCATTCAGGAAGTATGACGCTGCGCTGTCAGTATGCTCCAAATACCACCCCTTTCATGTGAACGCGCACCTAACTAGATAGGACACGGCTGGCTTGAGCGATCCACTTGATAACCAGCGTCGTAGTACAGTTTAGCCAGAGCGCGTATGTTTTGGATTGGGCCAACCGGCTAACTCAAACATATCCAGGTTAGGTTGAACCAGCTTCGTAGTACAGGCCTCTGATGTACTTATATGATTCTGTTTTCTTCAAGTTTGTATCTTCTTGATCGAATGCACTTATTGTAAGTCGCTTTGGATAAAAGCGTCAGCTCAATGCAATGTAATGTAATATAACAATGGTTTGGATACATTCCCAGCATTCAAATAATATGTTTTTCTTGTGTTAAGAGTGCCTTTACTCACACAACTTAATTTAAATATTGAAGAGTCTGTCACGATCTGTCTGTGTTGTGTTTTGTCTTGTCTTTTTCTGTCTCTGGTTTCCTGTTTTGTTTTGAAATGTTTTCCTCCTTGTGTCTTGTCTGATCCTACTCCCTGGGTGTTTCTCAATCGCGAGTACGCTTGCTTGGTAGCACATGTCTGCCGAGCATCTTGCTTCAGAAGCGAGTCAAGAATACTTCCTGGCATTCGGAAAACGAAGTGTGGAACACGCTAGCAAGTGTGCAGGTGTGCGTCATATGAGAGGCCCCGCCTTACATCTTCCGCCACAGATTTGGGGAAATTGGTCCGTGCGCAAAGCATTGTGAGGATTTTAAGACCGCGAAGTCTACTCATGTGCAGACTCGATATTTCTCCAAACGGAGTACGCCGGGCTCGGTAGATTTCCAAGTATACTGGAGATTGGAACAGTACTTCGGCGGCACTCGATGACGTAGTATGCTTGAAATAGTGGCTCGGAAGCAGCTTTACTCGCGATTGAGAAACACCCCCAGTGTTTGCCTTCCCTGTCGTTAGTTTCCCTGGTGTGTCTGATTGTCTGATTGTGTTCACCTGTTGCCCTTGTGTTTCTGCCTCCCTTACCCCAGCTGTGTCTTGTCTTGTGATTACCCCTCTCTGTATTTAGTCTTGTCTTCCCCTGTGTGCCTGGTCGGTTCATTGTTGGTTTTTCCTGTCTCCCTCCATGTCAGTCAAGGTCAGTTTTGTTTGTATTCGCTACCTTGTGCTATCTATGTTTTTTCATGCCTTGTGTTTGTGCTCATCGGCTTTGGAATAAAGCTCGCCTTTTGTTTATTGACCTTTTTCCTTTTTGAAGTCTGCATTTGGGTCCTACCTTTGCCCAACCCTAACAGAGTCTTATGATATGACGAGAAATGTTAAGCTTGTTCATCTTTTATTAATGTAATGGACTTTCTCATACATCCTAATATATATATAATGTCTGCTATGGAGAGTGTAGTTACCCCTGGTTTAGGAGGTCTGTTCATTCAGATACTGCAGCCTTGCTCGTGTGACGCTGTACAGAAGAGAGTTTGGTTTAAAGGGGACCTATCATGCAAAATGCACTTTTGTACGTCTTTTATACATGAATATGTGTCCCCGGTGTTCCAGGGAACTCACCAAGTGTCAGAAAACACAACCCTCTCTATTTTCCTCCATACCCAAATCTCTAAAAAAGGGGCTGCATCGGAACTGATAAAAACTGATCCAGATTTGAACACTGTCCTGACGTCAGGACGGTGGCGCTACGGCTATTGGGCCAACTCTCCACCTATCAGGGGAATGTGGGGTTGGGCCACGGCCGGCCATTGCCGCTCGAAAGCGCTGGAGACGCTGTAGTACATATGCCAGGCCTGTAAGTGGCGCTGTAGTCTGCCACAAAAGCAGCAAGGAAGACTTCCCGCGCATGGTTGCCATGGTTAGCCTTCTGTTTATTCTCCGCTGTGGCTTTTTTTCTCCCTCCCAGAGGCAAGCGTTTGCTCCCGCTGCTTTAATTCAATGCAATCCCTCCCCGTCGAGGCAAGCACTGTAATTCTCTCCGGTTAGTCCACCAGCAGATGACAAACACCCACCTCTCCGCCTCTTCCAAGGAACGAGGGGACCGTGCGGCAGAGTTTCAGTTAGGTTTTCTTTCGCCGGTCAAGATGTCCGTTAAAGTTTTCCGGACAAAATTAGAAAAGTCAAAGGTCTTCTTTGTTATTTATTGAGCTTTAAAACAAATGAATAACGACTCTATATAATAATAGGCTATAATAAAACACGGAGGATGGAGATCTATTTCTGAGATCGGGCTTTCTGTGCAGCTGCTCCTCGCCTGTGGAATTCCCTCCCAGACCACCTGAGGACTCCACAGACCACTGATGCCTTCAAGGAAGCCCTAAAAACCTTTATTTTTAAAAAAGCTTTTGATTAAAACTTTTTTTTATTTTGTTTGTTTTTATTATGCCTCCTGTAGCACCTTGGGATTGCTGCTAGCAATGAAAGGTGCTTTATAAATTGAATTTAATATTATTATTATTATTTTTCTCCCCCTCTTCTGACTTGATCAGAGCACGCTCCCCTCTCCTGCAGGGGGGCGTGGTCAGCTGCAGCTCACAGAATCAGCCCCCTGCAAAAACAGGGCTGGAGAACAGCAAATAGAGCGAAATGAGGCATGGCTAAAATGCATGATCTGTTTGGTATTTTGAAAACAGAAACGTATAAATATACCTTATATAGGTATGGACCTACAATATATCATTTAAATATAGCATGATAGGTCCACTTTAAAGATTGTTTTTAACCGTAATTGCTGGAGAAATGATGGAGAGATTTGAAAAAAACTAAAAAGTTTGCAGCACTCATTCATCTATGTTGTAGCACAAGAAATACCATATGAATAAAGAAAGAGAAAATAAAAATATTGTTTCTGGGGAATAATTCTTAAAATAACTTTGTCAAGAATGTTTTGCTTAAGTGAAATAATCACTCACTTTTTCTTATTAAAATATTCTATATTATATTGAGCTTGTTCAGTAACGAGCATGGTTTGCATGAACTCCATCATTTTGGTGTCAGCCTTTATAGCAACATTAATAGTATAATATAATAATTTTAGTTTTTTAACTTTGACGTTTTCCAACATTAATCATAATCCCTACAAACAGCCAAATTATTGAAAAAATAAATGAGGTTACATCAATCATACATTTAATTTAAACATAAATATCAATTCACATTAGTGAAGATACAATAAGATATTGACTGTCTGGTGCAATAGGCTTTTAATGGAGAAAAGAAATCAACAGGTTGGTGTTTAATCCATGAGGTTCACTGTAAATGCTGGGTTACTTTAGATTTTTCTTTGTCACAGTGAAAAAGGAGGAGCGAGATAACTGTTAGTCTTTATGACAGAGAGTTAGGGTACCAGAGCTGCATGCCTCTCGTCTGGTTTCTGAGGATGGAGACTGAGCTCTGCTTCCCACTCCTCAACTCCTCCTGCAGGAAGCCTCTGCAGCACCGAGCCTTTATCTTCATTTACAGCCTACTGGCGTGCATCTCCGTGCTCACCGTGGCTCTAAACCTGCTGGTCATCATCTCTATCTCACACTTCAGGCATGACCATTTACTAACAAGCGTCACCTAGAATGTTTAATGTCTTTACTTGCATGTCTCTGCACCTTATTTTACAGGAGTTGCCCTTTGCACAATAGAGATATTTCTTACATTAAGACATTCACATACAGTATATTGCATTCAGCATTAAACGTACTTGCTAGAAATGTTCCTACTATAACTAATAACTCTGCAAACGTCTTTGATTATTGATATTAATGTTGGAAGCTGCTGCATGCTCTTTGACTTTCCTCCTAACACAGAACATATATACGTATAACTAGTACATACTGCGTTACATTAATGCACATCTTTGTATGTGTCCTTTCTTGTACGTACTTTAAAGGTTAGCAAATTCCTAAAAATAGTTTGCACATTTCAGCACAATGCTGCCACTTTTAAACCGGCACAGCTCTTCCACTTGTAAATTCCGCGATACTGCACTTTTTTGTACAGTAATTAGTCATATTCTTATTGTATTTCTTTGAATGCATATTGCGCAAAAGCTAGTGTGGTTGTTTGCAATGTACATGTTAAGTCCTAGGCTCCTCCAACAATGCAACATATACTTAAGACATGGATAAATAGGAAGTAAAATAGTGCAAAAAATAGAATACAATGGTGCAGTAAAATGAAGGATCTAGTAAGCTTTGCACATCTTAGACGGAATATGATAAACCAGAATGCTGAAAATATTAAATGTACAGTAGAATACAAATACAACTGTAATGAAATATATACATATATAAACATGTTTTGCATTTTATTAGTACTCTTACTGCTATAACTTATAACTCTGCAACCATCAAAATCAATGATATCAATGTTGGAAGCTGCTGCATAATATCTGACTCTGTACTTCTTTAAAATATACAAACTGGTACTAAGTATATTTACATTAATGCTTGTGATGCCCTTGAGTCATTCCTGACACTCCATTTATGTAAAGAGTCTTTGAGAAATAGGAAAAGCGCTATAAAAATCCCATGTTTTATTATTATTATTATTATACTGGAAGTTCTTAATTTTTCTGCACAATGCTTTAAAAACTGCACAGCTCTTCCACTTTTGAATTCGGCTCTAATGCCCTTTTTAGTCTCAGAAATGTGTCTCGTTCTTATTGTATTTTCAATTGTTGTATATTTATATCTCTTGTAAACTGTCTTTTTAGTTTAAGATGTAGAGGTTTAATTGTGTTATGCACAAAATCAGCTGTTATCTGAAGTCCTGGGCTCCTCCAACTATGCAACCTGCTTTATACTTAAGACATAAATAGACAAGAAGTAAAATAGTGCCATAACAAATAATGCAATTGATACAATAAATAAGTAAGATATGTACAGGTTTGATAGATGAGATAGAGAATGTAAAATAAAATACTGTACAGTAGAAACAAATCTGTAATCATATTTAAATATGTGTCTATCTAGAAGAACCTGAGATGAAATACTTCTTTACTGTTAGAATAGTTTTAGGAATACATTTTATAATACTTCTATATTTGCTCTTAATTTACCACCAAAAATACCAAAGTATGTGTAATATTACCTGTCAGTTTTACAGTTTTAGGAAAAGTTTGCATAATATTTCTAGATGTACTTAATGAGTTTATGTATGTACTGTATGTGTAATAATACCTGGCATTAAAATCAAATTTCATTTATACTGTTTATCCCGAAATATACATTTCTCTGAGACCTTTACACCGTGTACAGATACTAAATATAAATGATAGATTAAAATACAATATAATAAAATCACAATATAGACAATCCATATTTAAAAACTGACGATGTAAACATTAACATATATTTGGTATAATTAATTCTGATTATGTTACAAATATATGTTTTATATATTTGATTGCAGTAAACATCTTAATATAGCAATGTAACATAATGTTACATTGCTTTATTAAGATGTTTACTGCAATCAAATCAAAGTTTATTTATATAGCCCAATATTGTGTCAGTGGGCTTTACAGATTAACAAACATAGATGACAATGTACGATATAGAAATAAAAGAAAATTGTAAGAAACATGATAAGAACGTGAATTACAAATAATATAATATAATATAATAATAACCAAAAGACAGATTCAAGGCTTTTATTGTCATGTGTGCATAGCTACAGTGTAGTTATGACAATGACATTCTTAGGTCACAGGCTCCTCCAACAGTGCAACACAATAAAACAGATAATAGTGCAAGTAAATAAAATAAAATATAATATAATAGAAGTAAACAATAAACACTAAAGCAACTAAATAAAATACCATGACATGTAGGACTCAGGAGGATAAAACCTAAAGTCATCTGAATGCATGTGGACTTTTTTGTGTATTTAACAGAATAATGTAATATATGTTCACTGGTGATATTCTTCCTCTCCAGGCAGCTGCGGGCCAATTAAAAGTAGGACACAGGCCGCATTTGGCCCCCGGGCCGTAGTTTGGACACCCCTGATGTAAACATATATATTTGGTATAATTAATTTTGATTATGTTACTGAGTCCAGTCACATTGCTTTATTAAAATGTAATCAAATCGAAGTTTTGTGTACAATATAGAAAGAAAATTCATAATAAAATTATAAGCAACATGATAAGAATGTGAAATACAAATAAACGGATAAAAATAAACATAAAATTCAACAAAAAGACTGTAAAAATACAAAAAGCAATTAAATAAAATACCATGAAATGTAGGACACAGGAGGACAGAACATAAGGTAATCTGAATGCACGTGGACCTATTTTGTGTATTAGATAGATAGATAGATAGGTAGATAGATAGATAGATATGTACTTTATTAATAATGTCATATTTTAATGTTCACTGTTGATATCCTTCCAGGCAGCTGCACACCCCCACCAACGTCCTCCTCCTCTCTCTGGCCGTCTCAGACCTCCTGGTCGGCCTCTTCATGATGCCGCTTCAGATCATCCTCCTGAGGGGCTGCTGGGATCTCGGGAGCTTGATATGTCGAATGTTCTCCTACACCTCCTTTATCCTCACCTCTGCCTCGGTGGGAAACATGGTGCTCATATCCATCGACCGGCACGTGGCCATCTGCGACCCCCTGAGTTACCCCACCAAAATCACTCAGATGAGGGTCAAACTGTGTGTGTGTCTGTGTTGGGCCTCCTCTGTTTTCTACAACGGCGTGATACTCATTGACTTCCTAAAACACCCGAATATATACAGTGCCTGCTATGGAGAGTGTATAGTCATGATTAACTTCATCACAGGGTCCGTGGATGTCGTGTTGACGTTTGTCGGCCCCATTTCTGTCATCATAGTGCTTTATATGAGGGTGTTTGTGGTGGCTTTGACTCAGGCTCGAGCCATGCGCTCTCATATTTCAGGCGTCAAAATCCAGAGTTCGATCAAGGTCACTGCCAAGAAGTCAGAAAGAAAAGCAGCCAGGACTCTTGGCGTTGTCATAGTGGTGTTTTTAATTTGTTTCTGTCCTTATTTTTACCCCTCTTTTGGGGGACAAGACTTGATAACCGGCGTTGAGTTTTCAACGTTTGGGATCTGGCTTTTGTTTTGTAATTCCTGTATGAATCCACTGGTGTACGCTCTCTTGTACCCCTGGTTTAGGAGGTCTGTTAAACTCATTTTGACTCTTCAGATACTGCAGCCTGGCTCCTGTGACGCCAACGTGCTGTAGAGGAGAGCGTGTAGTTTAAAGTATATAGAAAGTGTGATTTCCCTCATTAGCACTGAGGAAATTAGGACGGAATATAATAACTTTGCAGCACAGGATTTAATAAAAAGAAGCTGGTAATTAAAGATCAGATTCCCCCAGGCGGCTCTGTTTTCTATAATGGTTTGATAAACTGCAAATAATGACTTTTGAAAAGCATAATAAACGTGTTTCCGGGGATTAAGTCTTACTTTTTTGTCGAATAAGACATAATAATAATCAATAATAATAGTCATGAATGTTTTGCTCATGAAAAGTAATCTAATTTTAAGAACATATATCCAAACTGTTCTTATTGAATTATTCTATCTTATATATTTGGCAAGATTTAACCAGTAACAATGGTTTGACTTTGCATACATTCCTAGCATTAAAATAATATGTATTTCTTGTTTTAAGAGTGCATTTACTTACACAACTTAATTTAAATATTTAAGAGTCTTATGATATGACGAGAAATGCTGAGTCTTGTTCATCTTTTATTAATCTAATGGACTTTCTCATACATCCTAATATATATAATGTCTGCTATGGAGTGTGTAGTTACCCCTGGTTTAGAAAAAAACTTTGCAGCACTCATTCATCTATGTTGTAGCACAAGAAATACCATATAAATAAAGAAAGAGAAAATACAAATATTGTTTCTGGGGAATAATTCTTAAAATAACTTTGTCAAGAATGTTTTGCTTAAGTGAAGTAATCACTCACTTTTTCTTATTAAAATATTCTATATTATATTGAGCTTGATCAGTAACGAGCATGGTTTGCATGAACTCCATCATGTTGGGGTATATTAGTTGTTAAGGTTAATTTGATCTTCAGTAAAATCCATATATTTAACATAATCTATTAAGGACCTCTATTATCTAAATGCTATGCTGTTTAGCCTTTAATCAGTAAAATATATATATATATATTCAGCGACCTTGGTTCCCGTGAAAGGCGTTTTATAAATTCCATTTAATAATTTTATTTTTATTATTATTATATTTTTTTGTTACCTGTGTTTTTCACCAGATTTTAAAAGTGGAAATATTATTCCTTTTTTTGTGTCTCTAAAGTCACCAACCCTGTATTATATCACTAGATGTGTACCTTCAACTTATATTTTCACGCTTTATTCTCTCTTGTCATCCTCTATAAAAACATATTAACAATATTTACATTCATAACGTACATTGTAACGTATAGCATCACTTATGCTTTACTGCACTTCCTGTTAATTCTTTAATATATTAGTATAGGTACTTCTGGTTGGATGCTTAATGCATTTTATTGACTTGTACCTGAACTCTGCTGCACAATGGAAATACAGTTGAATTTAATTTAATAACATTGAATAAGAACATAATTTCCTTTTTCTAAAATACCTTAAACTTGTATATGAACATTATAATGTTTTATTCTGACCACCTGAAATAACCTTCAAGAAAAAGTATTTTTCTCTTCATCAAGTTATTGGCCCTTGTGCAGAATTAGTGGATTTACATGTTGTGCTTTAAGTACAATTATGAATGCAGGACTTACTAACAGTGTGGTGTTACTGAGATTACCCCAAAGATTGATTTTATTTATGGATATAGAAAACAATCCAAGGATAACATGGAAAGTGAGAATGCTTATTTCCAACATGGTTACTGATATTATCACATGGCGCGTATTCCAACAAAACATTTACAAAATCCTTAACACAATAACCAACAAAAAGCAAATACAGCAATCCTACAACAAGATTCCTTTCATAACCCTCTCCTCGTAAAATAAAGCACTTAAAATACAAGCAGTCATTGTAAAATACAATAATAAACACAGTAAGTTAAAAGAGTAAAGTACAATAAGATTCCCCAGAACCTGCCCATTACACTATTAACTATTACAAATGTGAAAACCCATCCACTGCTGGAACATATTACATTTCCTTTTTCATAAAGAATATATCCGTTTAAAGAACATTTACATTCCTCTTTAATCCTCCACATTTATCTGACAGCTTCAGTATCTCTTCAATAGTCCGTTTCTGATCATTACTACAAATACATTAAACAAATCCACTTTCATAAAGATACAACTTTGCTGATAAAATTCACAAGCTGTACAGTATGTACATCACAAACAAAGTATCCTCCTTTATCAGGTGCAACATTAGACTGATAATCACATTCAAACATCAATCATTTAACACTAAAATATATTATATTCTGAAAGGGAAGATTGTGAGTAGTTTTAAGTAGAATTATGAATGCATGTATTTGACTTGTAACAGAGTTTTCCTACATTGTGATATTACTTAAATGAATAAATATAAGTACGTTGTACACTGGTGCAAACTATTACATTTCCCCTTTCATAAAAAACAACTTTTCAACAACTCAGAGTGTCACTATAGTATTTGAGCCTCGCGGGAACCAGGCTTCAGTATCTGAAGTGTCAGGATGAGTTTAATGGATTTTCTGAACCAGGGGTAGAAAAAGGCGTAGATGACCGGGTTCAAACACGAGTTAAAATGTGCCAACCAGATCTCAAAAGCTGCAGACGAAGCATCGACGGAAGTGTCTTCGCCTGCCAGAGCGGGGTAATAATACGGACAGAAACAGAACAGAAACACAACAATAACAATACCGAGAGTCCTGGCTGCTTTCATCTCTTTTTTCTTCACGGTTACTGTCCCTGAACGCTGCGCTGTTACAGCTGCAATATGGGAACGCATGGCTCGAGCCTGAGACAAAGCCACTATAAACACCCTTGAATACAGAACTATGATGACAGTAATGGGTATGATGAAGCTGAAAACAAGGTCAATAACTCCTGCAATGTAGTTAATGACAACAACGCACTCTCCCAAACAAGAGTTAGACCGGCCCGGCTTCTCTAGGTGATCGTACAAAAGCAGAGGTCTGTAGAAAACAGAGACAATCCAACACAGACACACCAGGATTTGTGCTCTCCTCTTTGTGACTTTGGTGCCGTAATGCATCGGGTCACAAATGGCTATATAGCGGTCAACAGATATGAGCACCATGTTTGCTACTGAAGCAGATGTGATGATGTAGTCGATAACGTAATACAGAGTGCACACGATGTCACCGAGAAACCAGCAGGCCTCGATGTAGATTATTTCAACGGGCATCAGCAGGAGGCCCACAAACAGGTCGGAGACAGCCAGGGAGAGGAGGAGGAGGTTGGTGGGGGTGTGGAGCTGCCTGGAGAGGAAGAATAGCATAAAGACAGATATTGTAATTATAAAGCTGGAACAAAAATTGTATTAAGACTTGTTTACTACAATTCACCAGATCAAAACAATTTCATCTTAATGGTCAATATGTGTACAATTTATAACATAAAAGGTTGCCTGAAGTGTGAGATGGAGATGATGACCAGCAGGTTAAGAGCCACAGTGATCAGAGAGATGGATGAAAGCAGGACATAGATCAGCATGGCCTGAGTGTACGGATGTGTTGGTTTCTTGCAGGAGGAGTTGAGTTGTGGGTAGCAGAGTTCATCTCCATCTAGGCTCTCCATCCTCAGAGAGAGAGAGAGGAAGCTGAACCATAACCTGCAGAAATCTGTCAAGAACTGTCTGTCGCGCAGCTCTTTTATCAATCTCCTTCCTTTCCTCCTCCACGCAACAGCTTACGTTTTCTTTTAGTTGGAGAGTATTGTCCCTCCTCCTTCGATCTTTCCATCATAACTTTTTTCCACAGTGTATTATCGTATTGTCATCTCAAAGTACACAAGCTTGATATCTGTTGTGATAAATACCGGTACCCCTAAAATGAGTCTTCATCCAAGATGATCCGTTCTTGGCCTAGTGTTGGTTCGGAGTTGGTTAAACTTAAAAAACGTACCTTAGCACCAGATTGCTTTTCCACTAACCAAAGTCTGAAAGGCGCCATGACATGATGTCACTGTGTAGTTTATACTTTTCCCAGCAAAACCAGCAGGAATTTTGCTCACAAAAAACAACAAAGGCTGACTGCTTCAGAGCAGTGCTTTAGTTGCTTTTATTCTTAAATGTCCCATTCCCATGTCATGGCCATTTCTACTGATCATAATTCCATTGTTGAGGTCTACTAAAATAAATGTATATTGTGCAATTTTCCAAACTCACATTGGTTTCTCATACAGCATCTCTGTATAGTATGTGTATTCACTCTCTGTCCTAAACGTCTCCCTGTGAGCCCAGTGGCCATCTGCGAGACACCGCAGAACTCAGCCTGGGCACACACACACACCCGCAGCCTGGCTGGGAGTTTGTGTGTGCCCAGGCTGAGTTCCGCGTTGGCTCGCTGTCTCGCCGACCCCACACCAGTGAGCCAGCCCACAGTGTCCCGCTCCTCGCAGTAGCGAGCCTCGCAACGTCCCGCCGAGTGTGTGTGTGTGAGGAAGTCCGCGGATTGGTCCAAACGTAACGGCTCTGCGGCCGTTACGTTACGTTACTATACCCGAAATACGTCACTATACCCAAGAAGTAAACAATGGAAAAAGAGAAATCTCCAACGAGGCGTTCTGGGGCAGCATAGACAGGTCTTTTCTGTGTTAGAGTTTTACTCGCTACAGGGTGTACTTTGAGGGTTTGTGACTCTGCAGACCGTTTACATGCAGAAAAAGCTACATAACACACAAGGGGACGGGTAATAACCAGAAAAGCATGACATGGGCCCTTAAATGAAGCCAGATTAAATTGCAAGCACAACTTCTTCAACTCTTTACTTCTCTTTTACTGTATCATACCATGAACTGTTTTAGATATCTTACTGTTGGTGATGGCAGGACAAAGAAACGTTGGTTGATTTGAACAATTTTTGGGGCCGAGAGCCAGTGCTTGTGCAGTGGAAATACTGGTTCAAACCTTTCCATTTAGGTCTGTTCGGGGAATTGAACCAGCGACACTATGGTTCACAGTCACTGCCGGACTAAGAATATCAGACTACGCTAGATCCGTGCTTATGTTGCTATTAAACTTACAAAGCTATTAAATAGCAATAACTACTTTTCCAACTTTATACTGTTCTCCGGAGTGATGTGGCTAATAGTCTGGCTCTACTTTCCCCGCCTCTGACGTATGCAGCTTTGGCGTTGATCTTGAAGCCGGCTGGGTAGATTGTCGGTTCACGAGTTGAACCAGTTTTAAGGGCCAGGAGCCGGTTTGGAGCCTGATTTGGAATCAGAAGGGACAGACAGGATTGAGTTAAGTACAAACGAAGTGAAACAAGAAATCTTAAGGTGACCAAAATGCTAAAACGCACTGTTGTGAACTGAAACACACTTTTTAAAGTTAGATTAAAGGTGTAAGCCGTTGTAGAGACCTGTCAATCAAAAGGAAGTGAAGCCCTATAGCATACCCTGCTCTTCCGGTGTATTTAACTCTAAATACAATCATCTAATTACTTCATATTACCTTCATTTCTATGTGATTCGGCTGACCGGATCCTTTCAGCAAAAACCCATCATGCGTACATATGCCGAGTCACAAATGTTTCGTCATCAAAGAAATCATCAGCAAAAAAATTATTAAGTTTATTGTTTACTTTGAAAGATTAGTCTATTTAGCAACGATTGCATCACATGTTGATGTTAACGCTTGTTTTTTGTTAGGGTAACACCTATAATTGCAGTAATGTCATCGCATGACACTAATGAAAGCAGGTGTGAAAATGTGCTTAGCAAGAGGTTCACAGCCATTAGACCCCAGTGGGTCTTAATGAGGCACTGTGTGTGTGTGTGTGTGTGTGTGTGTGTGTGTGTGTGTGTGTGTGTGTGTGTGTGTGTGTGTGTGTGTGTGTGTGTGTGTGTGTGTGTGTGTGTGTGTGTGTGTGTGTGTGTGTGTGTGTGTGTGTGTGTGTGTGTGTGTGTGTGTGTATGTGTGTGTGTGTGTGTGTGTGTGTGTGTGTGTGTGTGTGTGTGTGTGTGTGTGTGTGTGCATGTGTGTGTGTGTGTGTGTGTGTGTGTGTGTGTGACAGACGATTAACGAGGAGGAAGTCCAAATGAGTGAGGGCATATTAAAAATACATTATCCAAACAGAACAAACTCTGATATGCAGATCATGTAATGGTCTCATTTGTTACTCCTTGAACAAAATGACCTTTTGAAGCGATATGTTCCACACAATGTCTGTTACAGTGTTATTTAGTTCATGTCATAAATAAAAGCCCACAAAGCAAGTATTCCCATTTATGTATTTATATGTTTTATTGATTATACACCATCATGAAAAAGGTAGTTAAAGCATACAGCATGTTTTGTCTTCTTTAGGCCACTGGAGGTTGCAGGTTTTGATCTCAAACAAATCTTCACATTGTCTGCAAGACCTTGACAGTATGCATGTTTCTGTGTTTACTTATCAAGTAATGCTGGGTGCTTTGTTACAGGCACTCTCTCAGATCCGGTTGATCAACTCAGTACCTTTCAATGCTTTATAGATCATTCTCCCTCATCTATCTCAGAGAAACAACCACAAAAAGAAACCCAACAAAGACCAAAGTAATTTAAGGATAGGTAAAAAATCAATGTATTAGTCTGGTAATAACAAACATATGTGCTTGTATAGATTCATATAGCATTGATGATTGAACACAGATTCTTTATCAGGGCAAAGACAGAACAAACATCATTTTGGGTCATGAACCCATTGGTCGCTTTCCACGAAAACCTAAGAAAAAACACAAGTTGCCGTAAGTTGTTACTTACTATATCATACAACAGATTTTTCTCCAAGACAACTTACTTCAGTCCTTTTATATTAGTTGTAAGACAATAACCTCATTTTTTTCTTTGTTGAAATGTGATTTCTGAGGTCTTTAGGATGTTTTTGAATTCCCATGATCTACATGTAGTCAAGTGTCACAAATTAAGCCACACTTTTGCTCCTCTTTGATTTTATTTAGACTCTTAAGGTTCGTACATATTTCCCGAGTTGTGCATTCGCGGATTCGAACGTCGAAGTTACTTCTTTTGTCAGAAGTTCAACACTATTTAGCTGGCTTTGTATTCCTTTAAAGACAAATTATATTCATGTTGGTAATCTTTGAATCTACTCTTATATCTTCAAAACATTCATTTAGTTTGTTAGAATTTATTCTGCGGGTATCAAACCAACAACAGGTGCATATGACACCAACTGGAGTTACAACGAAACAAGAACATGGGCAGTCGCCGTGCTGCCTTAGCTAAGACACAGTCAATTAATTCACTTGCGTCATTTGGATAAATTCCACCCTCGCGAACCTTTGAAAACTTGTGAACACGGATAGTGTGAATCTGCCTTTATGGAGCAATTGTAAAAACTAGGGCTTTCAGTCAATCATTCATCTATTAATCACATGATTGTCCATATTTAATAGTTACTGGGGTCCTAAGTTGGTGCTTTAACTTCTTCCTTGTCCTGATTGAAAGTTGCAGAACAGGTGTGTGGAAAGTTTGTGAGGCAGTGGATGTTACAGACTGAATGCATGAGCTTAAGGAACCTCCATCTTTTCCCCTTAAAACGTAATGTTTTTCTCAAGGAAGATATTGTGGATATTCTGTTGTTGCCCCTAATTATTAAGTGGCATCGGAGGTTATGGAAGCATGAATCATCTCACCTAATTACTCCAGGCCATGGTGATCAAGGCAGGGTTTTTGTCCTCGTACTTTGCGAAGGCAGATCTGCGCCTTCTTGCACCTTGGCTGCATATCTGGGAAGCAATAAAGGGAAAGAGACATTAATATTCTTAAATTTGACAAACATACGCTTCTTTGTTCCATATTGAATCTTCAGATATTGAGCATACCGGGGCGCAGGCGTTACTCTGAGTGACACACAGCTCTAATTTGCAGTGTAAGTAGACGTCAGCAGAACTGCCAGTGAACTGGAACGAGTTGAAAGAGAAGAGGTTGGACGTTCCCAACCCATTGCCCTCCACTTTCACCGTCTGGTCAGCAGGGTTAGCACAGCTGCTCAAAAACGTGCCAAAAACAACAAACACAGGTTTAAAGACACATCTTTTTAGATTAGCTTTTTATTAACAACACTTTAAATGTTCTTTTAGTCTTTATTATTTACCTACCTTTATATTGTTTTATTTATTTTATAGGTCTTAAAGGTGGGGTAGGTAATTTTGGAGAAACCAGCTCGAGATCGCTAGAATTTGAAAATACACAGCCGGAAAAAATCTGCCACTTCCTTACAGAGCCCCTCCTCCAACACACACGAACGCGCACATGACCAATGAGGGCACCAGATAAGTTTGTGCACAGATGGAAGGCTGACAGGCAGGTAGGCCATCCAGTTATTTTAGCCGGGCCGGCTCAGATGATTGGTCGTGCTTTTTACAGTACTACGGCTTCCACAGATGACATTTTTGTATGGATTTTTTGTCAAAGCACTTAAGATATTCATTGCTATCGGGATGTTAAGAGCATTCCATGGAATATAACAAAAAGTGTATCTCGAGCCGGTTTCTCAAACTTACCTACCCCACCTTTAAAGCATTTTATCTTATTTTATGAATCTAACATGCTTCAATAGCAATTTTTCTTTTTACGTTGATCTTTTTTATTTCTTAATCGTTTAGAATTAGAATTATGGCATTTTTATTACTATTATCTTTTTATTTCTGTTGTTTGTTTGTTTGTTTGTTTGTAGCCTTTATTTATCCCGGTAAAAAAATCCCATTGAGATCAACAATCTCTTTTACAAGGGAGACCTGCCGCACATTGGTTAC